GGCTTGGTGGGCACCCGGCATCCAGCCAGGGTCAAGCCACCACATGAATAAGTCCTGTAGGTAGGTATCCAACATTAATAGAGCAGGTCACTGCTCCCTTTGAGAAATCTAACTTGATTTTATTGCTTCTCAGCTGCTTTCTCTTTGACCTGCTTTTCCAGACACAAAAATTTTCCCTTTCCCAAATGCAGTGGGAGATATGGCCCCAGGCTAGTCTCCAGAGTAATTTTTTTTCTGAAACAAGAGCACAGATGAACCATACACACACACTTTCATCATAACCATAACTTGCTTTGAACCACAGCAACAGAAAGCCTATTATCACATTTGCCTTGAGCTGCAGAGGCTTCTCAGCTCAAGGCAAATCTCTAATCAGTAGCAAGTTAAACAGCTGAAATAATTCATTCTCAACATTTCTTGAGAGCCTGTAGCCACAAATTAGCAAGATTTAGAGATTCTTGATCATATATGTGGAAGCAAATTGACTTCCCCTCTGCAAATGATCAGAAGCAAAAGGGTTTCCAGCCTTCCTCTGCAAAAGGCAGTGTCTTAAGGGCTGCCTTCCAGACCTTCAGTATACCAGACCTGCCTTCCAGAACTTCATGCAACTACAATGCTAAAATGAAACTTCAGGAAAATACTATTGCATCCCTCTATACTTCACTGTCCTTACTCTACATTTCATTGTCAAACCAAACTATCAAATTTCAGTAGTGAGTTAATCTTAAAACTGGCTCCAGCATCACCCAGCTACAAAGTTCCTCTTTGTTTACCACAGTAAGAAAACAGTGGCATGCACGGTAGACAACGACTAAGGCTGAAAGAATCAGCAAATAGAACAGCTACTGTAAATTCAGATTGACTCTGCAACTGTTTAGATCAAACTGAGTAGGGACAGTCATGGCACAGCTCGCACTGTTAAACTCTTCCTTCCTACTGCAACCTGTTTCAGTGAGTCACAATGCTAACTGTAAGACTCACATTTCAATTTTTAGAATTCTTCATCCTCCACCAAACTGGAGATAAAATTTATTTCCACTTGTCTCAAGCACATCACAGCTCTAGTATCCCTTTTGCCCATTTCAGATAAAGAACTTCTAGAATTGTGGGAGTTCTTGTTCCTCCTTTTTCATGTTCAGTTATGAAGTAAGAAAGAAATTAAGCATGTGTAGAAATAACTGGTATGCTGAAATAGTCAGACAACAACAAACACCATCTGGCCCACTGCACTATGTCCTAGAATTTCTGCTCTGAGGAAACACACTGTAGAGAAATGTGGCAATCAGCAAGATTGCAAATACCATCTCCAGCCTTCCTGCAATCATAGGGAATAATGAGTTAATCATCACATAAAATAATTTAATGACAATGTAATGAAAATTGTAAGGCCACAGTCTCCATCCTTACTGTACATTTGGAAATAAAAACCATATAGCAGGTTGTATGAGTACTCTTCAGCAATGCATTACTTGTATCACTTCTGCCTTTATAATTTATAATTTCTAGGGTGCTAAACCAACTTTTAGATCCTGAACTTACTTTTGTGATTTTTTTTTTCATGTGATTTACCACTTCTAAGGAAAAATAAGAACACATCTTCCCAAAAAGGCACTATTATAGGATGCAGCAGCTGTTTCACTTTTCAAAGTCACCCCTACAGTGACAGACTTCCATTTGCCATATACTGGAGACGTACATGTATAGACAGAAGATTAAGATGTCTTATCGTGTATTCTGGTGTCTTTGATCCAGCCTTGATCTGAATTCCTGACTTGGTTGTTCAGCTAATAATCTGAGCAAAGAACCATTTAGAACAGCAAAATAAATTGCTAAGAAACATATGCAGTGCACAGAAAACACGGTAGAAAGACATTTCAGTTTGCCTTACCATCCTTCTGGGAAAGTGCTTTCTCAATAAAATCAGCTGCCTCCTCAAAATAGCGACTGAGGTTAAATTCTTGTGTATCGTTAGCTTTAATGCCATGGTATGTGATGCCTGTGCCTTCATAGAACTCTGCATTAGTGTTCACATGCATGAATGACTTCCCCTCTGCTGCATTCAGAACATGGGTTATCCCCAGACGCTGCAGCCTCATAATGTTCTTGGCTATGAACCTGTATGATAAAAAGTGTCGAGAAAATGATTAGAACTTGGTGAATCATCTCAGTATTTATGATGTCCCCAGAAGGTACTGATAACCAGAACCTTTGCTTTTTCTGTTAACAGATGCTAAATATACTGTGCCCAGAAGTGAATTAGCTACAGATCATAAATTCACAGAAATATTTAGAGCCATGTTCACTACTTGTGCATGAGAGAATGCTACATTCTTGGCTGACAACCGAGCAGAGCACACATGAAATTTAATCTGTTACACCCTACTATGGCATATAATTATAACTCTTTCTGAACATAAAATTCTGACCCAAATAAGAAAATACTAGAGATAACAGAAAGCCCAGGACAGCCACTTCTAAGATTAACCATTATCTACATAAGGTAATTTAAAAAACAGTTATAAAAAGCCTCTACTGTCAGCTACCAGTGTTGCAGGGCTAGGTAAGCAGCACTTGCTACTCTAGCAGGCAGTCCAGACAAACAGACATTTTAGGGGCAATTTTAACCACTGTGAAACAGCACTGTCTGCTCCTTAGGCCAGGGGAAGATAGAAAGTAACTACGTAAAAAATGTTCCTGCACCTTCAAAGGTCTCATCTGAAGACTCCTGTGAGGTGTAGTCCTCTGTCCCTGTGCTATTCAACGTCTTTGAAGTCATGGAAAGATGTGGCAAGGCTATCCAAAGGCCAGAAATACAGCGATCTCATTCAGTCTTTGCCACTCAGTGTTTTCATCACAAGTGGTGTAATTTTCAGTGTTGTAGTTGAAATCAATATGGAAAATGGAAAAGAATCCAGGTGCGTGATGTTTAAGATGCTTAAGAGCTTAAGAAAGCATTCAGTACTTTTAGGTCAGCTAAGCCCTTTCCAGCTCCTCAGTTCTATCAAATAATTGTAGCAAAATTATTGCTTCCATCTTTAAGTGGCTAAAAGAGCACCCTACCCTATTAGTGAACAATTGAGCAGGAGGATACATAATAATCATGCTTTTCAGGCTTGATGACAACTAATTAGATCCAGTAATAATGCCATAGCTCTGATAAAAGCTCCAGGTTGTACAATGGCAAACAATCCATCTCCTTAGTAACACAACTGATCATGCACAAATCTCTACTTGTGCACTGGAACGCAATCTATAGTAGAGGAGATAACCATTAAATAATATGAGGAGACCATTGACTCCTTTTGTTGTAAAGCCACTACTTTTCATTCTGAGTCTGATTATTTCTGTACGTCAGTCCCAATATTTGCCTCACTTTCCTGGGAAGAAAAAAAAAAACCAAACAAAACCACGTATGTTTTATCACTCCATGTGGTCTCCTAGTAAAATCTGAGCCCACTGGTCAACATTAGCAGAATGTGACAGAAGGCTTTAGTTGAAAGATAATTCAGTTCCTACACACTTTGTGAAAAGATGTAGCCTGAACAGACATAATTGTTTTTAAAGGCAGCTTTCACTATGTGTCTAACCGGATGTGGAAACAGAAATCTTCTAGAAAAATCTCCCTACGGCTCAAGTCCTAAATTTCAAATACAAGGAGTTGTAACATTAAGCTGAGCTCCAGATAAGCAGTATTTGTGCAGTATCTTTTTGGACAAGTTTCTAAGACATGGCAATGCACCTAAGGGTTTTGGCTGGACACTTAGCTATTCTAAAAAAGTTAAAATAAATACCCAATTTAGTTGGTTTATATCTATATGAATCTCTGAGTGCATTCACTCACAATTTTCACATAATTCAAGGCTGTATGAACATCTAGAGCGTTCCTTTCTCCTAATGACTGTTCACCCCTTAAATTGTAGCGTGAGCAGATGAATCCTTATGCATGAGTGAAGCTTCCACATTTTCTGCTGTCTGTGCCAAACAACTATGGCAATGAGCCAAATATTTGTGACGTCTTCATTACCCAAACAAATGTTGACAGTTTTTCCATCTGGCAGGACATCATCTGTGCCAGGGGAGAAGTATCAGCGCCTTGGGAATTCTGCTTGCAACACAAAAGTAAATCCTACAGTGCAAGGCCAAAACAAAAAGTGTTAATTCAGCTGTGAGTTCCTACGCTTAGTGGGGTGAGTATATTGTTTAAGTAATAGTATATAGATCAGTATACATCTGATAGTGGTCAGGACCAACAGGAACTTGTGTCCTGGAATTGTGGTTGAATCTGGCAACACAGACCAGCTCCCCTGGAGGCAAACTCATTCCCAGTGAATGATTTTTGCAGATTTTATAGATGATTTTCTTACACAGCTAGAAGTGAGAGTATTGGTACGCCATATTTTTCTCCCTTTCCAAGCAGTCCTTGGATCTCTCCCACCCTTAACATTTCATTTCAGCTGCATCATGTTCAATGTTGAAAAGCTAGTTCCTCCAAATGCAGAGAGATGCTAACATCAGCTGCTCCTATCTCCCTCAGAAAAAAATCACAGAATCTTGTCTGTTCTTAATATGGAAGATTGGGAGTTCCTCGTCCTGTGAGTTACACTAGTAAAAGTGTTTCTTTTGAACAGAGATGAACAATTTTACCAGCCACAAAACACAGGTCTTGAGGAACCATGCATCAGCAGTTAAGCGTACATGAGGCTATAAAGTATTGCCATATGGAATTATAAGCAAAGAAAACAGACCTTGATGGCAAAAAATGGCAGCACATTAACACACTTTAATTTACACCGTTATGTTCACACAAAATTGTTTCCTCACTGCTCCTTCCCTTACAGTCACTAAATTTAGTATTAATTTTGGGAGAATGCCTTTCATACTCCTTACAACACACCTGCGCTTCTAGCACGTTAAGAACAAAAAATTGCTTCATGGGTTACCCACACACAGTAAAGCAGCCAGAAAACTCTGATTGGGCATTCGTAACCAGATCCTTTTTACCAAATACAGTTCTGGAGGAGACATGGCTTGAATTGTTACAGGCTTCCAAGAGTCTGTGAAAAAAACCACAAACAGATTCCCTTAGCCAGTAGTTCAGAAAGCTAAACCTGCTTGCATTCCAGCAAAACACTGGTTTTGACAGGACACGGTTGCTCTGAATAAAAAACGTATCCTCCAGTGATATTACATTTTTACTCGTCTTCACCAATCTTGTCTAATCTTCTTGAGAGGTTAGAACTGTCTAGTGTAATATGCAAAAACATAATTTTCAAAATATTTTATCATTTTACCTCTGTGTTTTCATTAATTATGATTTTCATGTATTGCATGGAAGATCTAGTACTTTGGCTCTGCCTGTAACTTGAAGTCATTTGACAAACAAATTTTTATTCTACACTACAACCCAATTTAATCTCATCTGCCTGAATGTCTCTGCGTTGTCACTTTTATCTAAAGATGAGTTACTCATGAGGAAAGACAGCAGCACCCCTATGCAAAATATTCTAAAAGGTTTCCAGCAGAAGTTTCTGAATCTCTGAATTTCTTCCTGTGAGTTCCTGTTCAAATTCTATTGCTTTTATGCCATGCACTGGGATTCCAATCCCCCCATGTTAAAACTCTACAGATGTGGTGACTCTGTGAATTCTTATTGTTGCAAAATCTCTGCCGCTTGTAGTCATAAATGTGGCCCTTTATTGCAGAAAGGTTTGATCCATCCAAGTCAAAGCAGAGATCTGAATGTCAGATCAAATGACCGCGTTACTTTGTTCTCCTGCTGTATTGCCTTCCCGGACTTCCCCGTAGCTCAATGCAAAGTGCTTCCAATGACTCCTCAGAGATTCAGTAAGGAGATTTGTGCAACAAAGGCCAAAACTGAGGTATGAAGTGAGCGCCAAGCAGATGCACAGTGCAGCAAGTCAGCTTCAAATACGAGATGTATTCCAAGCTCCGCGCAGATGCTAGAGCAGAACAAGACAGGCTAATGAACTGCAAATACAGGCCCCAAACAAAGCTATGGCTTATTTCTTGCACACCGTAGTAAAGGCTTTATTGATGCCTTGCACACAGTTGGACCCACATACGCACAAGGCCTGAGAGGCCGAGTGCAAAGGAGGTTTGCTTCCCCAGCAGTTCGTAGGAGAAGGAGTCAAGTCAGGAAAACAGATCTCTCTTCAGCCTTATCTCTACACAAGGACAGTACAAAAGAGGGACATGTAGCTGGAAATGGTGTGAGAGCAGATCTGCACAGTTTCAAATTCTTTCAGAATGACAACTAATATAGCAAATGCTACTTACAATGCAGTATGCCACAACCCTACTTGATAGAAAAAAATCCTCGTAAGAATTAGTATTATTTCCAGTTTGAGAGTATCAAAGTTCACCCTGCAGCGATTGAATCTTAATAGACATTCACCCATTCAACTATACCTCAGCATTATCTAACTCTCTATGGATGCTTCAAAGATATTATTGCCTACGAAGTCTTGATAAATTAAGTAGGTTGTCTGTTCCCACTGTGAGACAGCTTTTTCAGCCCACAAAGTTATTTCTTACCTCTGGCTGTCCTCCACAATTTTTCAGAATCCTTTTAAAAACACTGACAGTAGAACTGCACGTTGTCCGTTAGTCCAACTAACGGTTAAACTGTTCTTATGCTACGTTTGCAGCATAAGTTTTGCACTGGTGCTCCAGATATTTTTCGTTGTCAATTATTACATAAAAAGCCCTTCTCAGTGGCAAAGCTTTCCACCAGACGGACATTTTCCATCCTGCAACTTACACATGCATTCTCTGTTCCTAGACAACCTTGCATCTGAATGTATTAAGGCCCATGCTGTGTCATTGAAATCAATTACTGAACAATGAAAACTACTCTGTAGTAGCCACCTATCTTCAAAATTATTTTTTAATTATTTACTGCACAAATCACCTTGCAGGCTATGACTTCATTTCTTCCAGCTGAAAATATGAAGGAGAAGGTGGCTGTCAGATGTCAGATTGGCCATTGAGATAGTAATTTCGGTCCTATCTCTAGATGTGCATGTCCTGCATCAACTGGCAGTGACAAACATAATTTGGTTTGGCTTAGGAGAAAGTTAATGAAAACCTATGGGTCTGACATATTTCTTTAGGAGTTACAAGCTTCAAATAAAAACAGGGATCCAGTATACTACGCACGTATCAGAAAGTCCCCAGTTTCACAGAGTGTACAAAAATGGACAAAAAGGGGAAAGAGAATCAGCAGGATCTGATAGGATTGGAACAGATAACTGAAATCATAACCTTGCTGCAAAGAATAAACATCATACAACTGAGAAAAGTGCCACTGGTGAACCCTGAACACTTTTCCCCATTTAAGGGCTTTCATCATAGCCATACCTGTATCGCTCTGGCTCCCATCATGTGCATGAATACTTAATTAGGATGAGGTTTTTTAGGGCTTAGAGTGCAGAAACATTTGTTTGACCAATCCCAGACAGGGGTGGCGATTCCTATTAAAGTCTTGCTTCCTCTGGGTCATTTTGCACATGGTTAAACAGAGATCCATATTGCTACTTTGCTTGTCCTTCATGTTCCAGCTCATTCCACTCATCTGACATATGGTTATTACACTGGTGTTGTGGTCGGGCTTCTGCAGATGATGATGTACATATACCTCAGGGCATCTTGTCTCTCCTCCCTCTTCTGTGTGGATGACCACAACTTGTTAGCAAGAGTAGGAAGTATCAGGAGAAACAAAAGCCCAGCGCTGACACAACTGAGCAGGTGTGTTTCTGAAGCGACCTAATTAATCTCGTTTCAGCTCTATTTTAGCTCAGATTTGGGATTTCAACAGGGTCCTGAACATTTCAGCAGATGCCATTTATGAGCTGTGCCT